GCCTTAAAATCTTTTTTATAAAAACCATGAACCAGACCACGTTACAACCTTCAAAAGTCCTAATTGAAGCAAGGTTATTTTGAAAGCATACTTCAATGAGATAGTGTTCCTGACTCCCATGAATGTTCTAAATAGTTATGTTGGTATCATATGTTTTTCCTATACAAAAATAAATGGTGCTTTAGCTCGCAAAATTTGTGCGATATCTTTCAAAATCTTCAAGACTTACATAACTGTTGCATTAGAATTTTCATTCTCATTGTAAACTTTTTTCTAACTGCAAAACATTTGTTTGATATCAAGGAAGCTCATATAAGCACCAGTGATGGGTTTATTCTTTTAAGGCCTGAAACTATGTTGAGTAATTGACGGATCACGTCAAGAAAAATCATATCCATGAGCATGTCACCTGAAGACCGTAAGCACGAACATGTTGCTTCTCCCAGTTAATGCTTTTCCCAACTTGTTTGCTCGTTTGGGGCAAAAATTCGAAGACTTTGTTGTGCCGACTACAGTCAATCCGGGGCAATCACGTAGAGATTAGATGAATCTCTCTAAGAGTTTGAAGACACCAGAGCATGGTGAATGCCAGGTCTTTTGTAAAATCCTCTTGAGACGATTTCTCCTCTTCAACCATATAGCTTGGGGCATGTTAGAAGTGAAGCTATTCGCAAGAATTGTCGTGCAACATGCAGCTCATCAGCAGTAAACTTGGGGCATCCAAAATTAGTCCCAGGGGCAATCCAGATTTGTCAAGATGTGTGATGTGTTTTGCACACATCATCAGAGGGTGGTTTTCCAGTATCTCCAGCTAAGCATGATTTTTTCCAGCCGAAACAGTGTTCGTGTTGTCATCCTTTCAAGGGATTGTCAGTGATAGAATATTGAACTTTGGGCTTTCTACCGAAAAATATCTTCCTCTCCAGAGATATTTAAGCCTTGTAAAAAGACCTTGCTCCAATGATGGCCTGTGTTCTATCTCCAGTAATGTTCCCATCTTGTTGAGATTAGCCGAGTGTCAGGTTGTACTGGGATGTCTTATCATCTTCTGTCTATCTTCTCTATTTGTTTTGTCAGCATATACATGACATTCATTTATTTATTCATACTTGCATCATGCATGCACATTTGTATTTGTTGATGTCTTTGGGTTCGTATACCTTGGTTATGTCAATTCAAATAACATATTTGATCTTTCCAAATAGAGTGTCAACTTAAGCAGAAAGTGCGCCTCCTTTCTAATTCCCCACTGAGTTAACTCTCGTGGAAGAACCTTGCTTTAGCTTTCCTTTTCCATCTATGGATAGGATAAATCCCATTTGAGTTGTTTCCTCATTGGGTGGAGTCTTGTTTGACTATTTTCTCTCCAGTTCATTCCTAGATTGAGCTTTGTCTCTTGTGAACGATAACCTGTGGATATCTCTAGGCTGTGAAACCTAGATGGAGAGTGCATTTGTTTTGCAATGTAAATACTTGGTCTTCTCGGGAAGAATCCATTCATGGTTTCCCATTGAAGATGAACTTTATTCCCCAGCAGTGTTATCACAACCTTCTTCTGGAATATCGACATGACAACAAGCGACTGACTCTTTATTTGAGCAGTTTGATTATTTCTGATTTCTCTACGACAAATGGCGGTCTCTTCATGAGCAGTTTGTCCATCCCCGATGAAATTATTGGTTCTCACCTCCAGCAATATCTTCACGATATTTTATGGGTATCTTTTTGGCAAACAGCAAGCGGCAGTCTCTTCATGAGCAACTTGTGTGTTATGGATACTCTTGACAAACAGCAAGCGGCGGTCTCTTCATGAGCAACTTTTATGTTATTGTCACCTTTGAAAACATCAAGCGGCAGTCTCTTCATGAGGCAACTTGTGTGTTATGGATACTCTTGACAAACAGCAAGCGACAGTCTCTTCATGGACAACTTGTATGTTATCAACACTTTTAAAAACAGCAAGCGGCAGTCTCTTCATGGACAACTTGTATGTTATCAACACTTTTAAAAACAGCAAGCGGCAGTCTCTTCATGGACAACTTGTATGTTATCAACACTTTTAAAAACAGCAAGCGGCAGTCTCTTCATGGACAACTTGTATGTTATCAACACTTTTTTTGAAAATGGCAAGTGGCAGCTTCTTCATGAGCAGCTTGTACGTTAGTATTTTTGGAAGACAGCAAGTGGCAGATTATCTATTTGAGCAACTTGTGTGTTATTGTTCCCTTGAAAATGGCAAGTGGCAGCTTCTTTATGAGCAGCTTGTGGATTATTGGCAACAAGTGGCAGACTCTTCATGAGCAGCTTGTGTGTTTTGATATTCTTTGAAGACAACAAGTGGCAGCTTCTTCATGAGCAGCTTGTGGGTTTTTGGCAACAAGTGGCGGACTCTTCATGAGCATCTTGTGTGTTTTAATATTCTTTGAAGATAGCGAGTGGCGGTCTCTTCATGAGCAGCTTGTATATTATTGACACCTTTGAAAGGAAGCAAGTGGCGGCCTCTTTATTTGAGCAGCTTGTGTATCCCCAACAATAATGTCTACTCAGCAATTGGCATCCCTTCGGAAAAGTCTCGTGGGGAAGTTTGTTATTTTATCCTTTTCAAGCGATATCTTGGTTAAAGAAGAAATGTGTTACCGTTCTTGGTAAAATTCAGAAATCAGAGATGTTTATCTCCAGCCACAGTGCTGATGTCAATCATTTTGTTTTCCAGCCATAATGCTGATGTCAATCATTTTGTTTTCCAGCCACAGTGCTGATGTCAATCATTTTGTTTTCCAGCCACCGTGCTGATGTCAATCATTTTGTTTTCCAGCCACAGTGCTGATGTCAATCATTTTGTTTTCCAGCCACAGTACTGATGTCAATCGTTTTCCAGTCTCAGTACTGATGTCCATCATATGCTTTTCCAGTCACAGTACTGATGTAAATCATTACCTTTTCCAGTCTCAATACTGATGTAAATCATTCAAGAGTCTCTCATTTGAAGTCTATGACTCTGTTTCCCCAATGGAGTTACAACCTCTTCCTCCGTGGGATTACTGTATAATGTGCTTGGTTTCTCCAGCATAGTCTGTCTCATATGGCGTCATTCCCCATGAAATTCAGAGCGTTACATTCATATCATATCATGAACATAATCGCGGTATCTTAAGGCCAAAAATTGTGTATTCTATATTTAAGTCCCTTCAATCTCGTCGAAATGAAGATCCCAATCTTCATATCTCCAGATAGAAGAAACTTAAATAGGGGCAGCTGTTGTACCCCAATTTTTGACCTAAGATCCCATTTTTATTTTTGCTTTTTTCAAGATAAGTCAAGGTCACGAAATACGGTCGGTTTTAACGTCTCGCCTTCGAGCTTTGACTATGCAAAGATTGTCAAGTGTTTTGAACATTTTTAGCCTATGTATCACTAAGTTCTAATCGCATACAAAGGTGTATGTTCATGTTTTCTTTTGTGTCATGTGCAGAGACAGGTCTGAATCAAGAGCATCAGGTGTCGCGCCTCAATTAAGGTTTTGAGTCTCCCAAGCCCGAAGTACGGTTGATTGTGGATTCTCGAAGACTGATTCATCAAGGCACACCGTTGCACCCTTAATTTCGCCCCTAATTTTTTCAGTCGCACATTCATACCATATTTTGTCATTTGGTCACGATCATTAGTAAATATCTTCATTCATCATATTTTGCATCATTAGTCGTATTTAAGTTGACCAGAAAAAAGTCAGTTTAAATCAAAGTTTGTGTCGTCTTTCAGTTGTAAAATACCCGGCATTTTGCTTCATGCATTTTTATCTATTTACTCATTTGTTGCATTGCTCCAAGTTGTTTATATGTTGATAATAAAAATATTTTGGTTTTATAGACAAACTGTTAAAAACGATTCAACAATGTGCGAAAATTAGTAGCGAGAAAATATTTCAAGTTTTCACCTTTTACTGATCATTTTATTAATCTGCGCTTCGCGTAGATTATGACGGTATGCTCGCTTTATTTTTTCGGTACAGTTCGAAGTCTCGTTTTAACCTTAAACGTCTGTTTAGTCTGATATTTTCATTATTATTTTATTTTTGATTTTTGACTTCTTGAATATTTTTTCTTTAATCTTTGTGACATGTAGATTATTTTAATGTGTTCATTTTATTTTTTCGGATAAATTTTCGTCCGTTTTTTTTATCACTTTCGGTCATTTTGGGTCTTTATTTTTTATTCATAAAATATTCAAAAAAATCATTTTAAATTGAGTTAATTTTAATACATTTAGTTTTTTGGTTATTTTTATCATTTAAGGGCTATTTGGTCACAAAAATATTATTTACACTGTGCTTGATTCCTATTGGCTGTTGGATGAAATTGAGGATCGATACACACACAATACTCTATTCCTATTGGCTGTTGGATGAAATTGAGGATCGATACAAAATCACCAAAACACAACTCACTTTCAATACACAGTAACCTCTCTCTCCAAAAACAACAACAATTTTTTATCTTCATTTTCTAGTCCCACAATAAAACATCACAAACTAGTTCACCAAGAAAGAACCAAAAAACAAAAAAAACTAAAACATCTCAAACTGGCGCTTTCTCTCTTTTGTTGAAACACATAAAACATAAACATAAAGACTTGTTTTGTTTCTTATTAGTAAAAATTGTATGGCTTATCACAACCAACATCTTTGACAAGAGAGGCCAATCCACCATTTCACAGACCAATCTAACAACAACACTTTTCGTTCCATTTTACAACTCCACCATCACCTACTTCTCCTCCATTGGCAAAAACACCACCTTATCAATCACCACCTATTGTGAAACCACCTTCACCACCACCGGTCACAACACCAACTTCACCACCACCATTTTCATCCAACCTTCCACCTCGCCTCGCAACTCCCATTTCTCTTCAAGAACAAGCTCTGGCCCTGTTTCAAACAACATCCGGCATCATGCGACCCCCAACACCGCTGCAGTGAGCAACTCCCTCCGCACGCGCTCATGACCAGCAGCCGCGAATCCCCTCCTCACAACCGCAGCAACAACCACGACAACCACTGCTCAGCTTCCAAACCGCGGCCACCCTCCGTCAACCTCAGATCTTCACACAATAGCAGCCGCACACAAACCGTCAGTTGCCGTTCCGCACCCTCTTTGATTCGACGCTACTCCCCCACCGCGACATCAGCCGACCCAACATCCTTAAAATGCGCTGCGTGCGGCTGTCACCGAAACTTCTACCGCCATATCCCTCTGTCCAACAACTTCTCAGTCCAGCTTCGTGTGTGTGAACTGTAAGCTTCCTCAATCTTCATCATCTGTTCATCTCAGTCTCATCAACCGTCGCTTGGTAAATTTCGATATCGCCTTATTCGCGTTAGAACTGTTAATTTGTTGTAATGACTTATGAGAAATAGTTTGTATTGGTTTTAGTTTTGATCTGTTGAGTATAATTGTTATGTTGCATAAAAAGCTGTGATGAAATTCTAAATAAAATAAGATTGTTATGTTAAAAAAAATATAAAAAAAATATTAGTAAATGTTATATTTAGACTTAGTTTAGTATTAATTTAGAATTTTTTTTAAATTAGTTTAAATGTATTTTATAACTTTAGAATACTTAGAATCATAATTAATAATTTTAGAATTTTAATTTAATTAGATATAAATTAGTAATGTTAGAACCTTTAATTAGTTTAGATATATTTTGATTACTCTAGAATTTTAATTTAGTCTTAGAATTTTAATCTTTAATTTAGAATTAATTTAGTTTAGGTTTAAGTTAGTAATTTTATTATGGTTTAGATTGAATTAGTAATTTTATAATGAATTTAGTTTATACTTAAACTAGTTTAGATGTAATCTAGTAATTTTAGAATCAATTTAGTTTAGACCTAATTCAGTAATATTAGAGTGTTAATTTATTTTAGATTTAATTTAATAACTTTTGAGTTTTTTTAGTTAGTAACTTAGAATTTTAATTCAGTTTTAGTTAATAACTTCAAAATTTAATTTAATTTAGTTAAACACCTTAGAATTTAAGTTTAGTTTACTTAGTAACCTTAAAATTTCAAATTAGTTTAGATGATTCTTTATTACACTTTTCTTTTATTTGTGATTCTTCTTTATCCATCCATTTAGTTTCTTACAATTTGTCTCGTTATCCACCTTGTTCGTTTCTCGTGGATTTTTATTATTTATGCTTCCTTACTCGAATATTAGATCTACCTGCTTATGATTAACTCCAAGGGAAAGATTTAAATTTGTTGACTTCATGTCATCAAAATATCTAATACGATCAAGCGAATACCCTCATTCATGTTTTTCCTATTTACCGTTTTTTCCCCAAAATTTAGTCGATTTTCCTAAAAAGATTCAAATTTCAAACTCACACCTTTTAAGTCAAAACTTCGACACTAGGTCGTCGTATCTTCAAAAATCTCGTCCATACCCATCTTTTAGCCAAACGAACCCTTTTAATCAAACAAACAATTTTAACCAAAAACAGATATTTCAAAAGGTTCCTGCGGAGTACCGCAGATGCATTGGGTGCTAATACCTTCCCATTGTATAACCAACCCCCGAACTCTCGATCTCTTTCAAAAAACGCATTGTATTCCTATTACTTTTAAGTATTATTTTACGTTGCATATTTTAGGGTTTTATTTCGCTCTTTTCCCTTTTCCCTTGGAAATAATAAAGCGCGGTGGCGACTCTTGCTTTTGTGAGTCAAGTTAATTAATAGCTTGATCTCCGATTTTCACCGCTACAGGCTCTTAGTTACTTTTTTAGATCACTTGCTTTTTCTTTTCAATTGTTTAAAATGGTGCTTTGTGTGGTTTTGAAAGTATTTTGAAAAGAGGCCATCGTTTTGGAAATCTTTGTAATGATTCTCGTTCGTTATAATATATACAAAGATGTTTGTCTTTTGAAAAATGTTTCAATGTTTTGAAAGTTTGTTTGGAAATGTTTTGAAATGTGTGTGTTTGTTTGAAAATAGCAAGGATGGTTTGCAAGTTTGATCAAGTAACTAGAAGCTTATCTACCTACTCAAAAGTCTTTCCTACACATTTTTATTCCATTGATGTTGTTGATTTACCATTGCATTTGGTAAACAACCCTATCTTTGGATGTTAAACAGGACGGGCGTGGGTCATCGTATGACTATGATAACAATATTGCCAAGTATCTTAGCAAGTTTTGAGGTACTAAGATCATCTTTGTTTAGACATTATCTAGCGTCATCGAGGGACTATGATCTTTTTGTTTTGTTTTGTTTTGCCAAGATACCTAGCATGCATACCATGGCCATTTTTAGGCAACAAAGTGGATGAAACCCTAGGGGTGCTTGTATGTAATGTGTTGTCATTTTCATGCATTTTTGTCTTGTATTAGGTCATACTATTTGTTTGATTTTTGGTCTTTGCATACAAAACCCTACCTTACTATCATGGCATATGAAAGCAATAAAATGCGTAAAGTAAATCTAGACTATTACAACAATATTATGGGGAGGGGGATACAAGTTTTGAATGGGGGATATTGCACAAAATAAAACCCTAAAACTATTACAACCAAATTGAATTTATTGTACAAATAAATAAATAAGCAATTATTTAAATATGCAATTAAATGTGTATATGAAAAAATGTTTTTGTATTTATTTTTTATGTATTTAAATTTATTTAAGTCTTAGAAATAAGAAAATAAAAATGATTATTTTTGAAAGGGTGAAAATCCTAATTTTTTGTTTTAAAAGAAAATATTGTTTTCTAATTATTTATTTGTCCATTTTTGTTCAAGAATAATAATAATAATAATATATACAAAATGTTAAAAAAATGAATATTGTATGAAAATATTATTTTAAGTGTATAAATAATAAAAATAAAAAGGTATGATATTTTAATATTATTTACAAGTTTATTCAAGAAAATAAATTCTATTAAACCTAATAAACTATTTATTATGCAAAAAAATAAAATAAAAAATATGATAAAATGCCAAAAATAAAGAAAATATTTTTTGTGATTTTAAAAGTTCAGAAAAAATAAATAAAAGTCAGAAACATGAAATATGCAAGAAAATACAAAAAAATATAAGAAAATGCAAAAGGGGGTGCAGAAGCAAAAATGGGGGTGTGAATAGAAATAGGCCCAAGGCGCCCAGGCCCAAGCCAGCTTCATCCATGTCCTTCAGCCAAACGACCAAACGCGCGCGCTCTGCAATCCAATCCTATTCTTGCTATTCTTTGCATAAAATCAAAAACTTATAACATGAAAGATGTAGCTCATGATCACACGATTCCAATGATATAAAGAACATGACCTAACTCTCAAAGATCAGAGAGAATTTTAATGGCCCTAAATTATGACCTAAAATTTTCAGCATGTTCAACATCCAAATACTCTTAGCTCAGTTAATATAAATGGAATCTAAGCATATGTACAACTCAAGCATGTTAAAGACTACATTTTTGCTTCACAAACCTAAGCTTAAGGATGCCTAAATAAGGAGATAGAAACTTGACAAATACCTTGTTTAGTTGAGTTTGAATATGGCAATGTGGGAACTTTGAGTGAGGCTTGAAGGTCGTGTGAGCTTGCTTGAAGTTCCCTCAAGCTTTCCCAATGCTCAGCTTGTCTTGAAGATGGCTAGAACTCCTTGCACGAGTCAACTTGCAAACCTTCAAAATGAAAATGGTGAAGTGTGAAAATTAGCTCACAGTTGCAAGACAGGGGGTTGGATAGCTTGGATGTGATGTATGTAACGTGTTTGAAGTGATTCAAGGCCAAATGCACGAGGCAAAATGGAAATGGCTTGAGATTTGCAGAAGGTGCCCTGTTTGGGCAGAAAATGGTGTTTTTTGTGTTTTAGGGTGTTTGAGAAGTTATGGAATCGTGTCTTAGGCTTGCAACAATGTTTTGAGATTGGTCCAAATGATGCCAAGACTTGTTTTTATCAGATGGAAGAGTTCACTTGACTTTTGCAAGTTTCTTGCTTTTGAAGAAAAGTTGAAATGACAATGCCCAAAAGCTTGTACTTGCTAGTTCCTTAGCTGCACATAGTTGGTAAAATTTGCCTGATAACTATGGATCTTGTTTGCAAAAAGAGATTAGGTCCATGGCTCAAGATAAACAAAGTTGTAAAAGCAAGCTTTATGAAAATGGTATTATGCACTTTATGCCATAAATGGATTAATTCAATGTGCAATTCTTCAAAGACCAGAACAAGGCCATTATACATTGTGTTTGCATTAAATTTTGGAGTGTAGAAAGGATTAGAACCTGTAATGCAAGTACAAGCAAGTTTGAAACTGATTTGCAACTTGTACCAATGTGAAAAATGCCTTGAACAAAAATAATAAATTTCCATTTTCATTTCTTCGATTCTCCCTAACCATAAATGATCTTGGGGAGTTCTTGGACATTTTGGAAAGCTTGTAACATGCTATATAATCCATCTTTGAAATGAATTTTGAGATTCCTCTTGGAACTAGGTGAAAAGTTTCCATGAAGTTAGGTCAAAAATCTGCCTAAACTAGGGCAAAATTTCACTAAGTTAAAAAGTTTATGGACCCCTATTCACAAAATCATAACTTGAGATCCAAGCATATTTTGGGAAAACTTTGTGAATAAAAGTTGTAGATTTCATGGAGGACTAGAACTTTCATGTTGGAAGTTTCCTTTGAATCCAAATGCATCATGGTGAAAAAGTTGGGAAAAAATAAGAAATTTTCATAACTTAGAAAAATTCTAAGTTATGAAAAATTTCAAATTAAAACCCTAATTTTCAAAATTAGGTTTCTTGGTGAACAAGTTTCATGTTTTGACACATCTTGATGAAATATGACCCTTGGCACTTGATTTTGACCAAAAAGTCAAAGTTTGACTTTTCAGTGTACAATTGATTTTTGATCAGTTGACTGGAAAATTCATCTGTCAATCCTATGTACTTGAGATCTTTTGAACCTTGTGATTAGGTCAAGATGGTGCCATTGAGTCCTTGAAAACATGATTGAACCCAATTGGCCATTGGCTAGGTCAAAAATCAGAAATTGCCCTTCTACAGTACAAACCCTAATTTTGACCATTTTGCCCTTTTGATGATCTGATCAAATTTCTTGAGGAGTTATGGTCCAAACTTGATCAAATGGTTCATATGAGTCTATAATGTTGATGTGGATAAAAAATTATGAGGCTTGACTGTAAATTGGCCATGGTTGACTTTTTCCCCAATACAATTGATTTTTAGGTCAACTGTCCAATTGACTGGTCCAAGATGTGATTCAAGGCTTG